CCTCTCCCTCTCCCTCTCCCTCTCGTCTCTTGTTTTAGAGTCCTTATAAAAACTCCAGTTCCCATACTGAGTAGGGATTTGGGTTACGCAGGTGTGTGTACTTGTCAAAATTCAGTGAGATTTGTGGATTTCATTGTACATAAGTTAACCTCAAAAGAAAAATTAAATATTGAACTCTAGAGATATGCATACTGAAGTATTTAGGGGAAAATAAACCAATGTTTTTAATTTATTTTGAACTTAGAAAAATTAGATTAGTAGATGAATAGAGTAATAGGTGGATGTGAGATAAATCAAATATAGTAAAATATTAATGGTAAGATCTGGATGTTCATTGTAAATTGTTCAACTTTGCTGTATGTTAGAGACTTTTCATAATAAAATGTTGGAGAATATATAATCAGGATTTTTTGACATCTATATAAAAGGATAATGGAATAGATTTCTGTAAAAAGTAGCTTCTTTATGTCAGACATGGTAAATATTTGTTTTCAGCCATTTTGAAAAAACCATACATTTAAATGAAACCAACAAGAAGGAAATAGATGTTTAGATAAAAGGAGAAATCAAAGATGTTTATAGTAGAATAACCTGATCTAGTTGAGGAGAGAATAGGGCCTAGAAGGATTTTAAGGAAGTTACATTTAAGCTGAGACAGGAATTAACTAGTTGACAAAGGGTCATCCCAATTACTATTGCTGGGTAATAAGCCACCCCCAAAACTTAATGGCTAAAAACAATCATTTTATTATGTTTATGGATTCCGTGAGTCAAATTTGGACATGGCATAGTTGGGGACAATTTGTCTCTGCTTCATGGTGTCTAGAGGTTCAACTGGGAAGACTCAGGTGATTCGACAGCTGGATATGGAACCTCTGGAGCTTCTTCACAAAAAATCTGGCAACCAGGGCTCAGATGATGAGCTGGAATTATGGCTGTAGTGCCTACACATAATTTCCATGTGGCTTGGGCTTCCACACAGCATGGCTACCTCAGCATAGTTGCATTTCTCACTTGATGCCTCAACAACTCTAGAGCTAGTCATTCCAGTGGACAAGAAAAAAGCTGCATTGTCTTTTACTACCTAGCCTTGGAAATCATGTAGTGTTCATTCTACTATTCTTTATTGGTGGGAGTCGTCACAGTCCTGCCAAGATTCAAAGAGAAGAGGGCATATTCACCTTTTCATGAGAGGCATGTCAAAGAATTTGCAGCCACCACAGAGGTAAAGGGACAGGGCTTGTGGAGAATACACCAGATAGGGTGAACATCATGTGGGAAATATCTGTGATGCGAGTGAGGTCTGCAAGTTCAATAAATTGAAATAAGTAACTTTAAATTGACCTTCTCCCAGCACCCCCTTTCCCCGGTCCCTGCTTAATTTTTATCCATAGACCTTATCACCTAATATTCTAAATTTTTAAATATTTATTCACTGTTTTCTCCCACTAGTTTTTGAGTTCATTCTGGGCAGGGAATATGTTCCCTTGTTTTGGTTACTGATATTTCCACAAATTAAGTTTTTGAATGAATGAGTGCATGGATCAAGGATGTACCTTCTGAGGTGAGAGCTTTGTTGAGGGCATGACCAATGGGAGAGTCTTCTTGGAAAGGGCGTTGTTACACAGTGTCTTCTGAGCCTGGCCCAGTCAGCGATGGGAACAATTGAGATTGGCCTTATGGGAGGCATGTCATGTTCTGGCATTGTAGGCTAAACTTATTCCTAGGAAAAAGGAGTCCAGGCTGGAGGCAGGCCTGTAATAAGCATCAGAGAAGGCGAGGAAAATGTCAGTGGGTAGGGCGAGGCCTAGTCGCAGAATGCCTAGGGTTATACCATACAGGGCAACTGAGGCAGTGGAAACCGTCGATGGGCGAAAGTCTTCAGTATTCTGTGGGCGGGGGCAGGACTGACAAGATGAGATTAGAGGTTTGAAAGGTTGAAAAACTGCTTGGGGGTGGAGAAAAACCCTGAGCCCATAGGAGGATCCAATTATGAGCGTCAGAGTGGACCAGTCAATGAGAGTAGACTAAGAAGAGGGCCCATCGCTTAGTATTATAAATGTTAGAAGCAAATCATAAAGAACCTGGGGGTGTGTCTCAGGGTAGGAATGACAGCCAATGACAAGCGGCCATGGGCGTGGCGCTGTCAAACTTCTCTGGGCTGGACCGAAGAGACCAAGACTGGGATGGTACCCAAGCCGAAGCCAATGAAAAGCCGCTAGGTGGGCGGGGAGTCTTCCTAAGGCTAAGGGTGGAGCCAATGAGAAGCGGCGCCGCGTCCTCACTGCCTCCGCCTCCGTGGGGCGCGCGCCTGAACCACGGGCAGCCGTTAGGGGCGGAGCCTGCAGCCGCCCGCGCGCGGCTCGCGCCCTCCCCTTTGTGTCGCCATGGCGGCGGCATCGGCGACAAGGACGACGACCGAGGGGTCCAGCGTCTGAGGAAGCCACGCGACCATGGTGGTGAGGGGCCCGCGCGGCCGTCGGTCCGTCCGCGTGGCAGTCTGTCCTTGCGCGGCCCCGCCCCGCGCGCCCCGCCCCCGGCCCCGCCCGAGTCCGAGGCCTGCGCCACTCCTCACCCCTCGTCGCGGTCCCTCTCGTCCCCAGGGCTGATTCTTGGTCCCAAGCCCTAACCCCGGCCCCGCCCTCTCAGCGTGCATCCCCTTCCAAGCTCTGTATGGGAATGACAGTGGCTGAAGACTTGGACTCGGGAGGAGGGGCTGGTCCAGGGAAGGACCAGGCATCCCCCAAGTGTCTCCTGCAGGGGCCTGCTGAAGCTCCCTGGGTCCTCACCAGTCCCCATCCCAGAGCCATCCTCAGAGTCCTCATCCCAGCCTCCACCGCTTCCTGGCCTAGCACCCTCCTCCCCCTACTACCAGTCCCTTTCTCATTCTCCAACCCCACCCCCATTCAGCTCCTTCCTCAGCCTGACCCTTTTCTTCTCCTCATTCTCACTCCATCCCAGTCCCTCTCAATTAACCCTCCTCTATCCATTCCCAACAGCCTGAACCTCAGCCTCTCCAGCTGCCCCTCCTCCTTCTTTCTCCACCCCAACCCCTTGATCCTTGGATCCTCTCCATCTTCTTGTCTTCATCCTCCCTCCCCTACTGTCTCCCTCTCCCACCATGCTGCTCCTGCTCATTCATCCATTCATTCCCTCATTTGCTCACTTAACAAATGACTGAGACCTATTTGTAGACCCCGTGCTCCAGGCACAGAGTCAGATCCTATCCTGCCTTGGGGAGCATAGGCTGGAGGGGGACAGATCTGAGGGTGAGACCCAAGGATGAATTCACAGTAGCAGGGATATGAAGGAGGGAGAAGCTAGAGCCCATTCCGGGGAGTTTCCATCTGGTAGCTGGTTAATTCATGAAATTTTACCCTGCTCCCGCTGTGCAACTGGGCTGACACGCTGGGTGTTGGGACTGAGCCGAGAATCAGGCAGAACCTTACCTGTGAGGAACACCAATTCTGCGCCCACCTCTGTACTGGGCAATACTGGAGAACTGGGCCCTTACCCTAGGCCCTGATCCTGGGGAGTTCACAGTCCAATGGGAGAGATGGACTTGTCACCAGACAGTCCAGAGTGCTCAGGGCTGTGATGGGGGAAGCCCAGGCAGAGTCATCAAGCCTGGGATGAGGGAACCTCAGGGAATGGAGGAGTCTGAAAGAGGTGCTTGACAGCCTGATAGGTCAGGGAGATCTTCTGAGAGGAAGAAACATAACAGTGGAGACCTGAGGGATGAGGAGGTGTGAACCTAGCGAAAGAACAAGAAAGAGGGTTCCATTCAGAGGGAACAGCCTTTGCAAAGGCTTAGAAGGAAATGAGAAGATGGTGCTTTTCTTGGACTCTTAGAAATTTGAGGGCTCTGAAAGTGGAGGCAAGAGGGAGAGATGAGGGTGGAGAGGTAAACAGAGACCAGAGAATCAGACTTTATCTTGAAGACAACAGGGAGCCATTGAAAGTCCATAATCTATGGAGAGACAGAGGCAGATTTGTGTTGTGTGAAAATGATACTGGATCTTGCTATGAAGAAGCAGGAGGGGAGAAGCTGGAAGCAGGAAGACATAAAATGGGAGTTGTGATTGTCCAGACGTCAGTGAGAGGTGTGGAGGGGCAAAATCCTGCAGGAGCTAAAGAAAAGGTTTAAACCTGGAGAAATGGTACCAGCATGCTCTATCCCTGCCTCACCTTCTACCCCTGCTTTTCCAGCTCCCCACCCCAGACCACACAGGAAGACTAAGTCTTATCCTCAGGCCTGCCTTCACCTCCCCTTGACCTACCCTGCTATTTCATGCTCATGGCAGTGTGTGGAGTGATCCAGGCCTCTAGGCCCAGGCTGGCAGATAACAATGCTACTGTTGTCTCTGTGCTCGCATCCCTGGGGGCCTCTGATTCTTCTTTCTGCTCTGCAGGCTCGAAGCACTGACAGCCTGGACGGCCCAGGGGAGGGCTCAGTGCAACCCCTGCCCACCACAGGGGGGCCCAGTGTGAAGGGGAAGTCTGGGAAGAGGTAAGAGGTGAGGGAGAGGCTCAGCTTAGGAGCCAAGCACAGGAGCCGCTAGTGATGTGTCACCTGTTCCCCAGGCTCTCTGCTCCTCGAGGTCCCTTCCCCCGGCTGGCTGACTGTGCCCATTTCCACTATGAGAATGTTGACTTTGGCCACATTCAGGTATGAAGGTTTGCACCCAGGTAGGAAGGTGAAATCCCACCCAATCCTGAAGCAATGTTAGCCACCCTGCCCCTGAGACCAGTCCCTGGGACCACCTGCTCCACCCATCTGAACAGTCTGTGGTAGCAGTTGCAGGGCGGAAGGGAAGAGCTGTTCATTCATTCGTTCATTCGTTCCTTTATTCATTTAGCAATAACTTTTTTGTTAGATGTATGCTCTGTGCCATGTCCCTGTACTCTGATTGAGACATCACCAGACCCTGTCCTTGGGGAACACAGACCTACCTCTAAAGAGTGCCCACCTGAAGAGGTCAGGACTGGCACAAAAGCGAGGCCCTCACCTGGACCTTTCTTTCCCTCTACAGCTCCTACTATCTCCAGGGCGTGAAGGCCCCGGCTTCTCTGGGGAGAATGAGCTCGTGTTTGGAGTACAGGTGACCTGTCAGGTGAGGCCACCCCTGCCTCTCATCTGGCCTAGCGGACTGGTCACCATGGTCCTCAGCTCAGTGTAATGGGACCACTGCTCCCTTCTGTCCTTTCTGCTCCCACAGGGCCGTTCCTGGCCAGTTCTCCGCAGTTATGATGACTTCCGTACCCTGGATGCCCACCTTCACCGGTGCATATTTGACCGGAGGTTTTCCTGCCTCCCAGAACTTCCCCCACCCCCAGAGGGTGCCAGGGCTGCCCAGGTAAACTGCTTATCTCAGCCCCTGCCTCAGCCACGGGGTGTCCTCATCAGCTATGTGAGAAACCATCAAAGCAGAGGGATCGATAAATATTTAAACACGAGTATGGCCTGAGTCCCAACCAGTCAGAATGGAGAGGCCCAGAATGGAGAGGCCCTAGAATTGCAGCAAAGTTCTGAAGGTTAGTTTTAGGATCATGGGTAGTTTGGGGGGTTCTGTGTGAGGGTCAACATGGCCAGACCAATGGAAGCACCTGGGAGCTTGGCATAGCCTATTTACCAACTGATATGACACTATTTCAGTACTTAACAGTGGAGCAGCAGCCATGCATTCAGATTGAATATCTGTCCCGCCCAGAGGCAAGCTAGGGCAGTATAGGAGGGCAGTAGGCTCACTTGGCTCTCCTCATAAGAATCCATCCTGACAACCTGCCCACAGATGCTGGTGCCGTTGCTGCTGCAATACCTGGAGACCCTGTCAGGACTGGTGGACAGTAACCTCAACTGCGGGCCTGTGCTCACCTGGATGGAGGTGGGCCCGGGCAGCAGGGCTTGGAGTTGGGAGTGAGTGAGGGATGTCTGAGGAGTGAGAACCAGCCTGGGAGTGTGTGTGGGCAAGGAAAGAAATGAGCCAGAGTGGAGGATGCACTGGTATTTCAGTGTCTGTGTGGGTGCATGCCTGTGAGAATAAGCACATGCGCTTTGTGTGTGTGTGTGTGTGTGTGTGTGTGTGCGCGCGTGCGTGCGTGTGCGTGTGCAGGTGTTGGGCTGTGGGGATGTGAGGATTTCAAGGTACGTCAGTTAGAAATAGATTTGGCTGTAACAGAATGCCTGGCTAAGTGACTTAAACCAGCAGCTTTTTAGATAGCAGATGCGCTATGGAGAATGAGGGTCCAGGGGTGTATCAGGAGGACTTCAGAGCAGGCAAGTCCTCCTGTGATGGAAAAGAAGGGGCATGAATTTAAGTGTTTGACCAATAGCTCTGAGTGACTGGGGCTCTTAAGTGGGGGACAAGTAGGCATGAAGGAACGTTCTCCACCTTTATTATCACCTCTGGCCTCTCCCTGCAACATCCCCCCTCCATCTCAGCTGGACAACCATGGCCGGCGGCTGCTCCTCAGTGAAGAGGCCTCCCTCAATATCCCTGCAGTGGCCGCTGCCCACGTGGTGAAACGGTACACAGCCCAGGCACCAGATGAGCTATCCTTCGAGGTGAGGCTGTGGGGGAACAGATTCCAGAGCTGGATGCCCTACTTCTCAGCCACCTCTGACCCTCTCTCCTCTCATCTGCCCAATTCCAGGTGGGAGACATTGTCTCAGTTATCGACATGCCGCCCACAGAGGATCGGAGCTGGTGGCGGGGCAAGAGAGGCTTCCAGGTGAGCCTGACTTGGGGTGGACAGGTAAAGCTAGGGTGCTGCATGAGCTATGGCAGCCCAGGCACTGACCCTGAACCCTCCTCAGGTCGGTTTCTTCCCCAGTGAGTGTGTGGAGCTATTCACAGAGCGGCCTGGTCCAGGATTCAAGGGGGGTAAGTGCCAGGGACAAAGTGGGGAGGCCTTCCCCACTTTGCCTTCCCCATCTTTTGCCGGCCTTTCATTCTTTCCACCCATCGTTCACCCCACAGATGCTGATGGTCCCCCATGTGGTGTCCCAACTCCCCAGGGTATCTCTTCTCTGACCTCAGGTAATGGATTGGAAACAAGGGGCCAGACCCCTGCCCGCCCCCCACCCCACCAGACTGGTGGCTGCACTGACCCTGTGTGGCCTGCCTTCAACCCCACAGCTGTGCCCCGGCCACGTGGGAAGCTGGCTGGCCTCCTGCGTACCTTCATGCGCTCCCGCCCTTCTCGGCAGCGGCTGCGACAGCGGGGCATCTTGCGGCAGAGGGTGTTCGGCTGTGACCTTGGAGAGCACCTCAGTAACTCAGGCCAGGATGGTGAGGCCCAGGCCCACCTGCCCAGCCCACCCCTCCCACCCGAGATTCAACTACCCAACCCTGACCCCACTGCTTTCTCCCAGTGCCCCAGGTGCTTCGCTGCTGCTCTGAGTTTATTGAGGCCCATGGGGTGGTAGATGGAATCTACCGGCTCTCAGGCGTGTCATCCAATATCCAGAGGCTACGGTGAGGGCCCTCCACCAACCCCTTCCCTCTACAAACATTTACTGAGCATCTTTAGTCCAGGCCCTGTGCCATGTGCTGGGGGCACAGAGTTCTTGGGAGTTAGGAGGGCATAGAACAATGCTGGACCGGGGCTGGAGGCAGGGAGGGCTTCTTTGAGGAAATGACACCCCAGCTGAGGCCTGAGAGGTGAGAGAAGAATGAGCATTAGAAGCAGACAGATCACTTTCATTGAGCACCTGTCACATGCCAAGCACTAGGCACTAGGGACACGGTGGTAAATGAGACAACCAGAAATTCTCACCCTCACGGGGCTCACATACTGGAAGTAGAGACAATCAAGGAGGAAATGAGAGAGTTTACTAGTAGGTGACAAGTGCTATGGGGAGCAAAAGGTTGGGTGGTAAGGAGGGTCATAATAATAAATCTGGGAGAGGTATTGCTGTTTAAATAGAGTGGACAGAGAAGGCCTCCTGGGGAAAAGCTCCCTCTGGCCTTTACAAGGAAGTGAGCAAGCCACATGGACATCCTGGGGAAAGCATTCGTGGTGGAGGGAACAGCCAGTCCAAAGGGGAAAGCAGCAGGAGTTGATGTCTGAGAAGTAATTAGGGGCAGAGCCTACAAGGCCTCTTTGATAACTGTTAGGATTTTGGCTTTTACTCAGAATGAAGGGGACCCACAGGAAGGTTCTGAGCTGAGAAGGGACAGCGTGCATGACAGTCTAGGAGGTGGGAAGCAGTGAGGCAAGAGCCCTGAGTCTGACAAGAGGCCATGAAGTGAGAGCACGGAGCCTAGGGGCAGTGAGAGACATGTCATGAGGTCACATGCATTGAGTTTTTACCCTTGAGCAGTTGGACACCACCAGGCAGTTGCATGTAGGGGCTGCTGGGATTTCAGCCACATTTTCCAGTGACCTCTTGAAGCCAGGAGAATGGCACAACTTGGTAGAAAAAGCATGGTCACTCTCTAGAGTCAGCCTTGGGTAGCTATAGGCAGGAGTACCTCTCACCTGAGCCTCGGTGTCCCCTGTAAAATGGGGCACCCTTTTCTTGGGCACACAGGGTTATTGCAGGTCCAGTAATGCTCTGCCTCTGAAGTGCCCAGCACAGAAAGAGGGTTGCAGTCAGGGGAGCAAGGAGGGCACAGCCAGGTGGGCCAGCTCTGACTCAAGTCTTCCTTCTCCTTGACCTTGACCTGGTGGCGTTAGGCATGAGTTTGACAGTGAGAGGATCCCTGAACTGTCTGGCCCAGCCTTCCTGCAGGACATCCACAGTGTGTCCTCCCTCTGCAAGCTCTACTTCCGAGAGCTGCCCAACCCTTTGCTCACATATCAGCTCTACGGGAAGTTTAGCGTGAGTAAGGGAGTTGCCAAGGTTGGAGGGTGCTGGGATGCATTGGGCCCAGCCTCCATCACAACTGTGCACAATCTCAGGAGGCCATGTCAGTGCCTGGAGAAGAAGAACGCCTGGTGCGCATCCATGACGTCATCCAGCAGCTGCCCCCGCCACACTACAGGTAAACCAGGAGGAGCAGAGAAGGGATGTGGTGGACTCACAAGGGAGTTGAGGCTCAGGTGGCCCCCTCCGCTCCTACCCCCAGGACCCTGGAATATCTGCTGAGGCACTTGGCCCGCATGGCGAGACACAGTGCCAACACCAGCATGCATGCCCGCAACCTGGCCATTGTCTGGGCGCCCAACCTGCTACGGTAAGCTGGCAGCTCATCAGCCTGTCACCCAAGCTCCCTCCCACAGACTGAGCTCCAAGCCTACACGGACCCTAGGAATCCACCCAACTTTTGTTCTCTTGTTCATATTTATTAAGTACCTCCAGGGTGCCAGCCCCTGTTCTCAGCAGTGGGGACAGAGTAGTGAGCAAGATCCTATGGTTCTGACCTCATGTTCTCATTGACAATGAACCACCAAGAAGAAAATACCGAATACGGTCTTCTAGTTGTAAGTGACAAGGAGAAAGATTACAAAGTAGGGAATGGGGATATGCAGGGTCATTGCTTTTCAGAATGTTTAGCTACAGTGTCAGGGAAGGCTTCAGTAAGAAGTCTTCTATGGCCAGCAGCAAGGTAAGCCCCAGAGGATTTGATGGTGACCGAGACAGACAAGCTCTCTGTCCTAAATAAAGTAGGTGGTACATCAGATGGTGGGTATAGGAACTATGGGAAAGAAAAAACAAATATGGACCTGGAATACAGGGAAGGTTTACAATTTTAAATAGGTGGTTAGGGAAGACTCCATTGAGAAGGTCACATTGGGATCAAATTGGAGAAGGTGAGAGGGGTCCATGTGGATATCTGGGGAGGAGCAAACCAGGCAGAGGGAACAGCAAGTGCAAAGGTCCTGGGTCTGGGTCAGGAGGAACAACAGGGAGGCCAGTGTGGCTGGATCTAAGTGAGCGAGTGAGTGAGTGAGTGAGTGAGGGGTTGGGGCACAGGAGGAGATGATGAAGTCAGAGAGGTCCTGGGAACCAGACAGAGGAGTAGCTTATGGGTTATAGGTCATGGTGAGGACTTTGCTTTTACCAGGAGTGAGGTACAGCCAGGTAAGGCTCTGAGCTGGGAGGGCCTTGACCTGACTCGGGGGTTCACAGGCTCCCTCTGTGTGTGTGGGGAGCAGACTGTGGGGGCAGGGGTGGGAGCAGGAGATCAGAGGGTAGTAGCCGTGAGGTCCAGGGGAGCGGGGATGGAGATTGGGCCAGGATAGGGCAGTGGAGGGGGAGAAGAGTTTAGATTCTGTACAGATTTTGTGGTTGGAGCCCACAGGATGTACGGACAGATTGGATGTGGGTATGAGAGAAAGAGAGGGGTCAAGGACAATTCCGAGGTGTCTGGCCTGAACCACTAAAGGACTGCATTGACTGAGATGGGGAAGATGAGAAGGGAACAGGTTTGGGGAAAGGTTCAGAACCCAGTTCTGGATGTGATCAGTTTGATAAGGTCAGAGGTGTTGAATGACAGTCATTGCTTCCATTGGCTCCCCACCGTACCTAGCCAGAACCCCTCAGCTGTGGCTCAAGGCATCTTATCGCCTTCTCTCTCTTCCTATCCAGGTCTATGGAGCTGGAATCGGTGGGGCTGGGTGGGGCAGCGGCCTTCCGGGAGGTTCGAGTGCAGTCGGTGGTGGTGGAATTCCTGCTCACGCATGTGGATGTCCTGTTCAGTGACACCTTTGCCTCTGCTGGCCTTGACCCTGCAGGTATGCTCATCCTACCCCCTTATGTCCTGGCTACTACCTCCTCATTGTCAGGGCTGCAGTGGGAGGGCAGGTGGGCTCCCAGCCCAGTCCCTACCCACTAAAGCTGGACCTCCCTCCAGGCTCCTTGAGGACCCCGCCCCGGCCTCTCCCTCCCCTCCCCACCCTTCTCATTTCAGCTCCTACGCTCAGGATCCCCACTTCTTGGCCCGGACATCGTTCTTCCTTCACCCCTTGTAGCTCCTGGGGGCACTTGGGGCCAGGGGTCCACCTGGGAGGAGGTGGGAGGTCCCCAGACTTGACCCTGCCCCAGCCCCACCTAGACTCCCTGCCCTGCCCCGGACCCCAGCCCAATCAGGATTCAGCACATCGGAGGGCCCACTGGCCCGAGGTAACTGAAGCCAGAGCCGCTGCCCTCGCTAGCTGCTGGGAGCTGCCTCATCAGCTGGTTCTGCCTCACTCCTCCTCCTCACCTGCCTGCTGCCCACCCATTCCCGCCTGATCCTCTCTGGTCCCCTGCCTTGCCAGCCCGGGGGGCACGCTTTGGGGCCGGGGCTTGGGCTGTAGTGCTTGGCTTTGCCTGTGGCCTTGAATGGCCTCCAGGCTGACAGCCATCTACTTTCCCAACTCCCCAGGCCGCTGCCTCCTTCCCAGGCCCAAGTCCCTTGCGGGCAGCGGCCCCTCTACTCGCCTGCTGACACTGGAGGAAGCTCAGGCTCGCACCCAGGGCCGGCTGGGGACACCCACTGACTCTACAGTTCCCAAGGCCTCAGCCTCACCTGCAGAAAGGTGAGTGGGATGCCAGGGAGTAGAATGGTTAGCTCGGAGACCCCAGCTCCTCAGACTGCCTCCTATGTCTCGCTCAAACCCCAGGAGGAAAGGGGAAAGAGGCGAGAAACAGCGGAAGTCAGGGGGTAGCAGCTGGAAGACCTTCTTTGCACTGGGCCGGGGCCCCAGCATCCCCCGAAAGAAGCCTCTTCCCTGGCTGGGGAGCACACGCGCTCCACCACAGCCTTCAGGTCAGAGATCGGGCAATCGGTGTGGTGGTGGAGGACGCACGATGGAGCACCCCTGTGACCCTTCTACCTCTCCTTGCAGGGAGCCGACCTGACACAGTCACACTAAGATCTGCCAAGAGTGAAGAGTCTCTGTCATCGCAGGCCAGTGGTGCTGGTGAGCTCAGCGTGGCCTGGTCTGTACCTGGGTGGAGCTAAGTGGGGCTGGGGCCCTGAGTTGGCCTCCCAGGGCTGTACTTCAAATTTAGGGGTCTTGGGATTTTTTAGTTTTAATCTGGACATTGGGTACTATGAGTTGGATAAAGCATCACCCTTGGTTCATGACACACTATGATCATCGGTCCATACAGGGTTCTTTCATTTATTTATTTATTTATTTATTCCCTTTGAAAAAATTTAAATAATATAATGAACGCCAATGAACCCACTTGCCAGAACTAAAAGAGCCCCACTACCTTACCTGCAGACTCCTCCCCTTTCCCACCTGCTGCCTCCCCACCAGAGGCATCCTCTAGATTTAATGGTCATCATCCCCTTGTTTTCAAGGTTTTATCACGTATAGGTGTATGTGTAAATAACATACTGCACAGTTCTAGTCATTTTGAACTTTAATTAAAGGTATTATAAGAAAGGGAGTATTATTCTGTATGTGGAACTTGACTGTCACCACTGCATTACAGACTACCATCCATGTTGCTGGGTGCGAGTCAGGCTCTCTCTTCTCTGCTGCTCTCTAGTGTTCCATGTGGATATCCCATGGGGAGTCGCTTGCCCATCTTACCTCCAACGGATTTGGGGGGCTCTTATGGGCACTCCCTGCCATGCCCCACACCTGAGAGCTCTATACATATCCAGGAATGGCTGTGCATACTCGAGTGTATGCTCGCGTTCCACTGAACAAGACAAGGCCATTGTTTTCCAAATGTGTCGCCCCAGTCTGTATTCCCAGCAGCCTTGTTTGAAATCCGGTTGGTCTCATACTCACAGCCCATTGGGTCGCTGGATTTTATTCTGGCCTTTGGATCTTGAATGGTTCCCCTCATGAACTTGCCATTCATTTCCTTTATCATTATGAGTCTGAATAGTTCTCCCTGGATTCGAAGCCAGTTGTGACCCTATCTAGGGAAGGTCCTCTGTATGTTATTTCTCCAGCCTCCTGGGTTGTGTGCCCTATTCTCACTGATGTACAGGTATGGAAAGTTCTGAGCCCTGGGCCCTAACTGCCCCTACCCACTGCCCTTCTAGGCCTCCAGAGGCTGCACAGGCTACGGCGACCCCACTCCAGCAGTGATGCTTTCCCAGTGGGCCCGGCACCTGCTGGCTCCTGCGAAAGTCTGTCCTCGTCCTCTTCCTCTGAGTCCTCTGAGTCCTCTGAGTCCTCTGAGTCCTCAGCAGCCGGGCTGGGGGCACTCTCCGGTTCCCCTTCGCACCGAACTTCGGCCTGGCTAGATGATGGTGATGAGCTGGACTTCAGCCCACCCCGCTGCCTGGAGGGGCTCCGGGGGCTCGACTTTGATCCCCTTACCTTTCGCTGCAGCAGCCCCACCCCAGGGGACCCTGCACCTCCTGCCAGCCCGGCCCCCCCGGCCCCTGCTTCTGCCTTCCCACCCAGGGTAACCCCCCAGGCCCTCTCTCCCTGTGGGCCCACCAGCCCTGCCTCACCCACTGCCCTGGACATCTCAGAGCCCTTGGCTGTAACAGTGCCACCTGCTGTCTTGGAGCTGCTAGGGGCTGGGGGAACACCTGCCTCAGCCACCCCAAAGCCAGCCCCCAGCCCAGGCCTGCGCCCCCATCTCATTCCCCTGCTGCTGCATGGAGCCGAAGCCCAGCTAAGTGACACCTGCCAACAAGAAATCTGCAATAAGCTGGCACTACCTGGTCCTCAAGGAGCCCAAGTCCAGCATGGTAAGTCCTACTCAGCCCGCCCCACACCCTCACAGACCCTAAGGCTGCACTCATGACCTGGCTGACACCCCTTCCCATTCCTCTGTGTAGGACCTGGTATGGATTCGCCACTGCTGCCACCACCCCTGTCTCTCCTGCGCCCTGGGGGTGCTCCACCTCCACCCCCCAAGAACCCAGCACGCCTCATGGCCCTGGCCCTGGCTGAGCAGGCTCAGCAGGTGGCCCAGAGACAGAACCAACAGGAGCATGGGAGCACCCCATCTGCTCCCCACTCCCCTTTCTGCCGCTCACTGTCCTTGGAGGTGGGCAGTAAGCCCCCGGGGACCTCAGGGAGTGGGCCACCCACCCACTCCCTAGCCCACCCAGGTGCCTGGGCTCCAGGACCCCCACCCTCCCTACCAAGGCAACAAAGTGATGGGAGCCTGGTGAGGAGCCAGCGGCCCACAGGGATCTCAAGGAGGGGACGCAGAGGCCCTGCCCAGGTCAGTGCCCAGCTCAGGACAGGTGGGGGCTGCAATGTGCCAGAGACATCGGCCTAGTTCCCATGTTCTGTCTCCTCACAGGTTCCCGCTTCTGTGAGAACCCCCGGCTGCTTCTCCTCAGCCCCCCGGGAGTGCCTGCCACCCTTTCTTGGGGTCCCCAAATCAGGCTTGTACCCTCTGGCCTCCCCATCCTTCCAGCCCAGCTCCCCAGCTCCAGTCTGGAGGAGCTCCTTGGGTCCTCCTGCACCACTTGACAGGGGAGAGAACCTATACTATGAAATAGAGGCAGGTGAGGGGTCCCCCTACTCTGGCCCCACCCAGTCCTGGAGTCCCTTTCGCTCCATGCCCCCAGATAGGCTCAATGCCTCATATGGCATGCTTGGCCAATCGCCACCACTCCACAGGTCCCCCAACTTCCTGCTCAGCTACCCACCACCCCCCTCCTGCTTTCCCCATAACCACCTGGGTTATTCGGCCCCTCAGCACCCCACCCGGCGCCCCACCCGGCCTGAGCCCCTCTATGTCAACCTAGCCCTAGGTCCCAGGGGTCCCTCACCTGCCTCTTCTAGCTCCTCCTCCCCTCCTGCGCACCCCCGTAGCCATTCAGATCCTGGTCCCCCAGCCCCCCACATACCCCAGAAACAGCGGGCCCCCTGGGGCCCCCACACCCCTCACAGGGTGCCTGGGCCCTGGGGCCCTCCCGAGCCTCTCCTGTTCTACCGGGCAGCCCCACCAGCCTATGGCAGAGGGGGCGAGCACCACCGAGGGTCCTTGTACAGGAATGGGGGACAAGGAAGGGAAGGGGCTGGTCCCCCACCCCCCTACCCCACTCCCAGCTGGTCCCTCCACTCTGAGGGCCAAACTCGAAGCTACTGCTGAGCCAGAGCTGAGAGAGACCTTCCTCCTTTCCCTTCTCCCTCACCGATCTTGGCCCAACCCAATCCCTTATTTTGTATTTTCTTGAGCTCCTGACCCCTACCCCAGGTTTCTAACTTTGTAACTTGCTTTTGTTGTGGGTCCCTAACTTGTTATCATGGCTTCCCTACCCAGGGCTGAAGGGCACACCCATCAGCTCTCACAAATCTGAGGGCTAGACTGACACCATGTCCTCTCCCTCCGGGAGCCCCCAGCATGTCCTGACTAGTACACAGGGGGTAGGGGGACAGCTCCTTCCCATCTCTTCCCACATACCCCACTAAACCATCTGACAAAATTAATGAATAAAAATGGTGAAAATACGGATGTCGGGCTCAGTGAATAAAGAGACAGGGACAGATGGATTGCTTTATCATTTTATTTCATTTTATCTTTTCAGCAGATACTGAGGAGAGAGTCCCTCTTGGAAGGCACTGAGGGGTGATATCTGCAGAGAGGAGGCCATGGGAGCCCTAAGAATCTGTGTCAGGAGTGGGGTCAAGGCTGGGTCTGTCTCGGAGTTGGCATCCACCTTGTAGCTCGGCCATGATCTCCTCCAACAGATCCATCCTGGGGAGGAGTGGGATAGGGATGGACGGAAGGTGCCCTCAGGAATGAGAAAGGGGCCCAGGGGCCCTCCCACTAAGGCCCCTTTCTCACTTCTGCATACTGGAGAAGGGATCTCCTCTGATCAGCTCAGGGCTGGCCACCTGCAGGGATAAAAGCTGGAGCTGCTACCTGGTGGCCATGAAGCTCAGATGGACCGGGGTAAGGTGGGGGGGTGGGCAGGGGATGGGCTCAGGGTCTTTTGCTTCACCTGCCCCAGTGGCCTTCCCTGCCAACAGCCTCCAGGGTATGGGAAGCCTTCCTGTGGGTCAGCAGGCATGGTTTGGGCTCCCAGGGCTGGGAGTCCAGCAGGACAGCCCTGTGTGTGTGTCACCTAAGCCCCTGCAGGGCTGGGATCTTGGCTGAGAACTTCCCCTTAAGCTGTTCTACAGAGCCCTGACTCCCCAGTGGAGAGGCTGAGTCCTGAAGGCTGGAGTGTAGGGCAAGGCCCTGGGAGAAGCAGGGTTGGTCAGGAGTCACAGGTCATTGAGGGGACAGCTGGGGGTCCTGTAGGGTTCCCTGGTCAAAGGAGAGACAGCCAGGGAAATTGGGGCTGGTGACAACTGGGGGGAGGGGTCACAGGTTAGGGACTGGATGGTCGTACAGGGCTTGGGGTATCCATACTGTTGAGCTGGGTTCCGGGCAGTGCTGCAAGCTGACCCTGGTTGTGGGGCTGTGGCCTGGGCAGAAGCCAGGGCTGGGACTGGGACTGCTGCCTAGAGTCAAGCTGCTACCTGAGTCCCAGGCTGTGTCCCTCTGGGCTCTGCCGTGGCCCACGACCTGAGGAGTCTCCAGGACCTGCAGAGAGCAATGGCAGAGAGCTGCCATGGTTGGTCCAGGTGTCCCACAACTCCCTTGGTCCTCCACATCCCCGCCCTGGCTCCTACCTGGGATTGGAAGGGGCCCAGGGACCTTATGGGGGACTCAGGCCTGGGTGTGGTCTTGGCTCGAGACGCTACCTCATAGTACAGTGTCTCTGGAGGGACAAACCATTTGGTTGGAATGGGGGGGTACAGCTGAGTTATGCCCAGCACTGGCCACCACCCCTCCTTGCCCTCTAACCTGGTGGGGAACCGTGGGGTGCAGGGCACAGTGTGGTCCAATCCATCAGGAAGCTCACCTCAGGAGCCGAGTCCTGTGGAAAGGAGATTGGATGTGGGCCCTGTCTTCCATGGCTACCACTCACCCCTGCTAACCTGTCATGTACCTGAGCCATGGCCTCCCGTAGCAGGTATCGGGTATTCTGCAGGCTGCCCCAGCGGTCAGCAGGCCCTCGGCCCAGTCCAGCCCGAACCAAGGCCTGGTAAGGGGTTGGCACCAGGGGGTTCAGGGCTGGGCTCTCACCTGCCTCCAGTTTAGCCTTTACCTCAGGCCCCTCTTTTCCAGCCCAGGGCAGCTCTCCTGTGAGGAAGCATGATTGGAGAACCAAAATGGGAGTGGGGGGTGCCTCCGTGGGGCAAGGTATAGGGTCACTCACTGACCAGTGAAGACCTCCTGGGCCAGGATGCAGAAGCTATAGAGGTCTGAGGTGGTAGCAGGCATATCACCGCAGATGAGCTCAAGTGGCAGCCATGGGTACAATTCGGGAGGCGGGGGCAGCCCTGGGCCTGGCCTTCCCCAGGAGTAGGAGTCCTGCTGAGGCCTGTGGAAGCCGAGGGGTCTGGTGAGTCATTGGCTGCTCAACAGGAACACTGGGCAGGCAGGTGAGATGCACTTACCTGGGCCGCAGCCAGCACTGGCGCAGTGGGCGCCCGTGCTCCAGGCTGCCCACCTTGGCCAGGCCTGGCCGCACCAGCTGCACAGCATGCGAGCTAAGGCCACCATGAGCATGCCAGCGGGCCTGCAGGAACAGCAAGGCCTCTAGCACCTGTAGCAACAGGCAGCCAGGCAGCAGGCCTGGCACAGTGCAGGGCCACCCCTTGCTCGGTCCCTTGGGGTGCAGCACCACATGCAGGGAGCCTAGCCACACAGGCTCGAAGAGAAGGCGCAGCTCCGACAGGTCCGCCGAGGGGCTCAGTGCCATCAGAAGCAACAGGTTGGGGTGGTGCAGGGTGCTGGGTGGGAAGAGAGCATGCCACTCACAAGGAGACTCTGACCTGTATGGGGCGGGGGCTGCCCCTGGGAACAGGTCACTATGTGCCAGGGGCTGCTGATCTACACCAGCTACTGGGCAAGAGAGAAAGTGAGACCCCAGGTCACACAGAGACGGTGCTGGCCGTCAGAGAGCCAGCACCCACTGTGTACCCTGTTCGT